TATGGATTTTTTTTTTTTTTGGAGACAGTCTTGCTCTGTCACCCAGGCTGCAGTGCAGCGGCGTGACCTCCGCTCACTGCAACCTCCGCCTCCTAGGTTCAAGTGATTCTCCTGCCTCCGCCTCCTGAGTAGCTGGGACTACAGGCGTGTGGCACCATGCCCGGCTAATTTTTTCTATTTTTAGTAGACACGGGGGTTTCACCACGTTAGCCAGGATGGTCTCAATCTCCTGACCTTGTGATCTGCCCACCTGGCCTCCCAAAGTGCTGAAATTATAGGCATGAGTCACCACACCCAGCTGGAGAGTTTTAAAAGTTATAATTATAGTATTCTTTTGGAAACCTTTGATCTACTCAATTAACTTTTGGAGACAAAATTAGAACTAAAAATTTGGCCAAGAATGGTGGCTCATGCCTGTAATCCCAGCACTTAGGGAGGCTGAGGTGGGTGGATCATTTCAGGTTAGGAGTTTGAGACCAGCCTGGAGTTAAAGCCTGGCCAACATGGTAAAACTCCATCTCTACTAAAAATACAGAAATTAGCTGGGCTTGGTAGCATGTGCCTATAATGTCAGCTACTCAGGAGGCTGACGCAGGGGTATCACTTGAACCCAGGAGGCAGAGCCTCCAGTGAGCAGAGACTGACCCACTGCACTCTAGCCTGGATGACAGTGCAAGACTCCGTATCAAAAAATAAAAATAAAACGAGGCCCAGCGCTCACACCTATAATCCCAGCTCACACCTACAATCCCAGCACTTTGGGAGGCCGAGGCAGACAGACTGCTTCAGGTCAGGAGTTCAAGACCAGCCTGGATGACATAGTGAAACCTTGTCTCTACTAAAAACAACAAAAATTAGTCAGGTGTGGTTGCACATGGTCTGTAATCCCAGTTACTCAGGAGGCTGAGGCAGGAGAATGGCGTGAACCCGGGAGGCGGAGCTTGCAGTGAGATCACACCACTGCACTCCAGCCTGGGGGACAGAGCAAGAGTCCGCCTCAAAAAAAAAAAAAAAGAAAAACACGTCAGAATTTACTTTTGCTAAGTCCACTTAAGATATTAGGAATGCTAAATTGTTAACATTCTGACATCTAAAATTTTGTGGCAATATTTACCGGTGTCTTTGTCCTTGGCTTTATATACTTGGCCATAGGTTCCTTCTCCAATAATCCCAATAATGTCAAACTTGTCCACACAGCGTTTCCCCCAGTCGCTTTCTGTTTGTCTTCTTTCTCCATAACGAGGACAACAAATTCTAAAAAGGAAAAACAACAAAACAGTTATTTAAGAAAATGAAGTTGGCCTGGCGCGGAGGCTCACGCCTGTAATCCCAGCACTTTGGGAGACCGAGGCAGGCAGATCACGAGGTGAGGAGATTGAGACCACCCTGGCTAACACGGTGAAACCCCGTCTCTACTGAATATACAAAAAATTAGCTGGGCGTGGTGGCGGGTGCCTGTAATCCCAGCTACTCAGGAGGCTGAGGCAGGAGAATTGCTTGAACCCAGGAGGCGGAGGTGACAGTGAGCCAAGGTCATGCCACTGCACTCCAGCCTGGGTGACAGAGTGAGACTCCAACTCAAAAAAAAAGAAAATGAAATCTAGTCAAGAAAAAGGATTCTTTTATGATGATTTCACTAACTCCTGTATCTTTTTTTTTTTTTTGAGATGGAGTCTTGCTCTGTCACGAGCTGAATTTAAAAAGCTTTTATTCTTCCTTAGTACTCTACAGGCAGGCGCCACAACGCCCAGCTAATTTTTGTATTTTCAGTAGAGATGGGGTTTCACCATGTTGGCCAAGATGGTCTCGATCTCTTGACCCTATGATCCGCCCGCCTCGGCCTCCCAAAGTGCTGGGATTACAAGCGTGACCCACCGCACCCAGCCACTCCTGTGGAGTATCTTTTATATATTTTTTACTAAAAAGTCAGAAATTAAACGATATGAAATATATAAAGACGCAGTCGGCCATGGTGGTGGGCGCCTGTAGTCCCAGCTACCTGGTAGACAGAGGCAGAAGAATTGCTTGAACCTGGGAGGCGGAGGTTGCAGTGAGTGGAGTTTGCGCCACTGCACTCCTGGGCAACAGAGATTGCGCCACTGCACTCCTGGGCAATAGCCTGGGCAACAGAGTGAGACTGTCTCAAAAATAAATAAATAAATAATAAATAAAAACCTAACATAAAATACATAAACAAGCCGGGCTCGGTGGCTCCTGCCTGTAATCCCAGTACTTTAGCAGACTGAGGCAGGTGGATCACGAGGTCAGAAGTTCAAGACCAGTCTGACCAAGAAGGTGAAACCCGTCTCCACTAAAAATACAAAAATTATCCAGGTGTGGTGGTGTACACCTGTACTCCCAGCTACTCTGAGGCAGGAGAATCGCTTGAATCCAGGAGGCAGAGGATACAGTGAGCAAGATCGCACCACTGCACTCCAGCCTGGGTGACAGAGTGAGACTCGGTCTCAAAAAAAAAAAAAAAAAAATACACAGTCTCTCACAGTGTCTAAGGCACAAGGCTATAGCTTTAGGAAGACATAAGCTGAAATAACAGATTGCTTACTTTCTCACCTCTCTCAGGTATGGCTTCAACTATAAAATGGGAAATTAATCGCTACATGCTAAGGCTACTATGAAAATATAAGGCCAGACACGGCGGCTCATGCCTATAATCCCAGCACTTTGGGAGGCCAAGGCGGTGGATCACCTGAGGTCAGGAGTTCGAGACCAGCCTGGCCAACATGGTGAAATCCCCAACTCTACTAAAAACACAAAAATTAGCCTGGTGTGGTGGCGTGTACCCATAATCCCAGCTATTCGGGAGGCTGAGGCAGGAGAATCGCTTGAACCAGGGAGGCAGAGGTTGTGATGAGCAGAGACAGCACCACTGCATTCCAGCCTGGGCAACAAAGAACGCAACTCCGTCTCAAAAATATATATATATAAACTATGACAATAATATGTGCTCAATAAATAACTATTTTTATTATTAAGACAGAAATGCTAACAATCAGAAGATTAGACCCAGATTATACTCTATTTATGGCATGACAATTTATATGCTTTCAGAAAAAAAATCCCACATCTATTAATTTTTCATTAATGTGTACATGATTGACACATCCTGAATTTAAAAAGCTTTTATTCTTCCTCAGTACTCTAAATATTATGAATAAAAAAGACATAATGACATAAATGTTCATAGTATATCTGGATTTGGGAATTTTCTGTTGTTCTAAAAACAGAGTTGGGTATCTGAGGGCACAGATGAATGACCTGGGTCTCCAAGGAAGGCTTTTGTCCACTAAAATAAAATAAAAGGTATACTTTGGGACCAAACTTCTATGATCTCACTGGTATAGGTTATAGAAGAAACATGAGAGATTTAGTTCAAAAGGAAGGGAGAAAACTATCATGAAAGATAGATTCCTCCAAAAACTTACTTTGGTCTCTTTTTATATGGTTGCTGAGGTGGTGTGATTGCCTTTGGTTCTGGAGAGTCTGGGGGAGACAGATCTCCACCAGGGAGCTCTGGAGGGAGAGGGAGGTCTGTGAGTAGGTGACGCGTCCTCTGTTCCTTCTCTTTCTTCACAGGTTTTGAAGGAAGAGTTTCTTTTGGACTAAACAATAAAGGGGAAGAGATGACAAAATTACAATTAAAGATATGCAAATAAAAATTTTCAAAGATCATAATGCCTGGTTACTAAAAGATTACATCTCATTTTTAAGGAAAAAGACCTGTAACATTAAAAAATATAATTTACCACAACTAAAGATACTTTTTTTTTTTTTTTTGAGACAGAGTATCACTGTCACCCAGGCTGGAATGCAGTGGTGTGATCTTGGCTCACTACAACCTCTGCCTCCCAGGTTCAAGCGATTCTCCTACCTCAGCTTCCCAAGTAGCTGGGATTACAGGCATGTGCCACCACGCCCAACTAATTTTTGTATTTTTAGTAGAGATGGGGTTTCACCATGTTTGCCAGGCTGCTCTTGAACTCCTGGTCCCAATTAATCCACCCGCCTCGGCCTCCCAAAATGCTGGGATTACAGGCGTGGGCCACCGTGCCCAGCTGAGATAAATTTTATAAAAAGAAATCTATAGTATATTAAAGAAACGATCATTTTATTTGTGATATTACTTGCAGTTCCCTTCATCAAACTCTTAATATATCGTTCCTAAGATTTTATTCAGATTTTTATCAAGATGAAATAAAATTCACCTCGGCATGGTGGCTCACCCCTGTGATCCCAGCACTTTGGGAGGCTGAGGCATGAGGACTGCTTGAGGCCAGGAGTTTGAGA